GTTCAGGTCTCACCTGTCAGGGTGTCTGTGATGGCCGTCAGAGGACTGTCCCTCAGGGTGTCGGGGTCCTGGTAGTCCTGTGGGAGTCCCATCCGCCGAATGCCAGGGTCCAGAACCACCGAAGACCCGCCCTCGCTCAGAGTGCCGTCGCTCGACGCTCCAGACACCACGGCCTCCAGGGCCAGAGCCCCGACCCCGCCGCCCAGAGCCAGGTCGTAGTCCAGGGGGAGGTCGTCCAGGCAGTCGGCGTTCAGCTGGTCAAAACAAACCACGTCAACGCTCTGACCGTAAAGAAACAGGATGAAGAGCGCAGTTTAATCAGACGGGGACTCACGGCGATGCCCAGGGCCTTCAGGATGTTCATCTTACACATGGGGCAGGTCCGGTGGTCCAAGAGCCACGGGTCCACACAGCTCTTATGGAACAGGTGTCTGCGGAGAGTTTGAACATGTAGAAAAACATCGTTGAACCTTATGAAACTGAGGCTTCAGAGCTCTGAAGCGTGTCGGAGCTTCAAAACATCACCGTCACGTGACCAAGGACGCTCGAAGCTTCAGACACGTCACTGCTTCATTTGGACTCAAAGTTTTGAAGCGTTCTGCGCCAGTCACCGTTTGATGCATCTGACAGTTTTGGTGCTGCACAGCCATTTAAGCTGCATCAACATTCATAAAAAACTCTGAACTGTAAGAGACAGAATTAACGAAACGTCCCGACTTTTTGTTTTTACAGGTTTTGAATTTCAGCTCATACAAAGCTGCGGCTCATTTGTGGATTTTTTTTTACGGACTAACGAGCTTCCTGCTCCCAAAACATTTACGCACCCGGGCGCTCACATAGATCCCAAATACACGTCTCTCTTGGGGGGTCAGTGAGACGGCCTGTATAGATAAAAGTTAAACGTGACCAGTGAAACACAACAAATGTCGGCTCAGTGACCGACAGCTTCTCGTGTTCACTACAGGGCGTCGCTGGGACCTGAACTCCAGGGTAGAATGGTCTGCTGCGTCCACCAGAAGGCTCGGCCATCGGTTTACATTCATGCACAAAGCAACACGTGGACTGACCGTGCAGAGGTG